TGTGTGTGTGTGTTGCGTGTGTGTGTGTGTGCGTGTGTGTGCATACGGTGTGCGTCTGTTGCATGCGGATTGTGTGGTGTGCGTGGTGTGCGTGTGTGCATGTGTGTGTGAGTGTGTGTGTTGTGTGTGTGATGTGTGTGTGTGTGTGTGTGTGTGTGTGTGTGTGTGTGTGTGTGTGTGTGGTGTGTGGTGTGTGCTGTGGTGTGTGTGTGTGTGTGTGTGTGTGTGCGTGCGTGCCGTGCGTGCGTGCGTGTGTGTGTGTGTGCGTGCGCGTGCGTGCGTGCGTGTGTGTGTAACGTGTGTGTGTGTGTGTGTGTGTGTGTGTGTGTGTGTGGTATGTGTGTGTGTGCGTGCGTGCGGGTGTGCGTGTGTGTGCGTGCGGGGTTGTGTGTGTGTGCGCCGCGCGTGTGTGTGCTTTATACACGCACATAAATACAACCAACATCCTTATATGAACCAACAGTTGCGACTCGTGTCTCTCGTGTCATGCTCTGAATAGGCGCACAAGGAAATTTCGATTTGTTAGCCGAATGTCGGGTATTTAACCTATGAAAACCTTGAAAGAAGGGACTGTTGATATGGATGGAAGTGCTCTAAGAGGAAAAAGTTTTATAATAGCAAACATTTTTTAACATAATGCTTAAGGATAAAGTGAGAGACTAGCACTGGTGAAGTTATGTTTTTATATATGAATAAGATTTATAGATATAAATTATTCATTTGTTAGTGTCTTACACGTACATTTATGAAACATAGGTTGAATTACTTTGGATTAAAAGACGCGTACATCTAAACTATAATTTATCATAAAGTTAAGAATTTCACGAAAATATGTATCCATTAAACACCGGATTGTTCTTTAATTGCTGTAAGTAACATTGCAGGTACGCAGTCATGGAAAATAAAATGTTTTGTTTAAAATAGGTAAAGTTATATATCCTTTGAAGAAAATGTTACTAGTAAAGGTGTAAATAAGCATAAATGGAAGGTTTATAATTCCTGGAATCCCAGTGTTATACCTTAAGACTGCAGGCCAAATATGAACGGCTGGCCCTAAAAAATATTAATTTAGAATTCGGGGAAAGCGCCGAGGTGAGCCACAAGCCAGAGGAGCAGCTCTCTGCGGGAAAGCGCCCTGGGAACGCCTAATTCGTTTTCCTAATGTTACACAGAAACAAAGTCAAAGTATAAAGACTTGCACAGAAATGCCCAAGGTCCCGGGTTTGCGTCCGTCACAAATGCCCGATTACTCGCCTTGCCGAAATTTCCAACAGGAGCCCTTTTTGACCTGGGATGAACTAACCAGTCCAGCCGGTTTCGTCGTTCGCTCGTATACTCCTTTTGTTTATCTCGTTCACGCTTGCAACCTCACTGCTGCCATGCCATTTCCCAAAAGTACCAGTTTGAAGTTCCTTTGATAACTTACGAGGGAGAAAGGAGAGAGAGAGAGAGAGAGAAGAGAGAGAGAGAGAGAGGAGAGGGAGAGGGAGAGGGAGAGGGAAGAGGGAGAGGGAGAGGGAGAGGGAGAGGAGAGGGAGAGGGAGAGAAGAGAGAGAGAGAAGAGAGAGAGAGAGAGAGAGGAGAGAAGAGAGGGAGGAGGGAGGAGAGGGGAGGAGAGAGAGAGAGAGAGAGAGAGAGAGAGAGAGAGAGAGAGAGAGAGAGAGAGGATGAGACGTGTGCAGATCATATACATGCTACTTCTACTGCCTTCTTGTAACGGTCGTGTAAATGCGATATGCACTCTACACATAAAACCAAGAAACGAAGATGACATAATTCCTAAAGAGTCACTGGTAGATATATTGCCATAGAATTCTACAAGATAAACACTATTAATTTCAAGTTTACATCCATCCATTACCCGTTACTGTCGTGGGGAGGGAGGCTTAGGAGACGAAGACTGAGGCCCAATGTAGGAGATTACCCCTACCCTGAGCATCAGCCCTCGTCTCAACTAATTTTGCATGGGCTTGTTTTATCCTCCTTTGCCTTTCCTTCTCTTCTTCATCCCCTTCTGTCCACTTACTAAAGTGTGATAGCCGTGCTGAAAGGATGAAAAGGATGTTGCAACAGACAACCTAAACGTTGGCTTAGCGTCAGTCATGAACGGCCTCGGAGCCATGGCACGGTATTCCATTGGTTAACCGCCTAGCCCCTACCCCTTATGGGGACCCTGAGGGGTAGACCATTTCTTTTTCTCACTTATCCCAGACTCTCCATGGCCAAAAAGGATGTTTTATCTTTAATGGGGTCATTAAGACTTGCCCTTTTAATAAAACAATTAGCCTACCTATATTTGATTTCTTTGGTTTTATGACCCCCGCCCCTCCTTTGACCATGGCTCCGACCACTGATACTAATACTCCCTCTTCGATGTTTACTGATAACCCTATCCATTCCGAATCACCCACCCAAGTCATTACACAACCTTCAGAAAGCACCCCTTCCTCTCTCCCAACATTCTGCACTATCTACTGTACAGTCTTTTTCGTTGTCTAACCCTCCCTCTTCATTACTACTCCTTATATTCCTCCTCTCCACAACACTACCTCACTCCACACCACTCCATTTTACTCTCGCCCTCGTCTTTCTACTGCTTCCACATCTGCAGACCTTTAGAGTACTCTCTATAGCCCAGCCAAATGGGATCGATTCATTGTGATTCCCCTTACATACCCTTACTCTGACAATAACCATCTCTTCCAACAATGTCTCCAAAAACAAGTAGGCAAAGTTTCCTTTCGTTGTCGTTCTGTCACAGTTACATCTGAGTCCTAATCTGCCCTGGCTGACCTCACTGGCAACCTATTTCTGCCGAACCTCACGCCTTACTTAATACTTGTACCAAAAGTTTCCTATAAAACTGGTCAGGCTGAAAATGACCTTCCTGCCTCCATTGTTGACTATGATGCAGTGGCAGAACAGTGCTACACTATTCCTCCCTGAGGACAGCATAAGTCTTACACCAGTCTTGTCAAGAATAACTTCCGTAGACATGAACTCCCCTATGAAGTTTATATTGGGGGTGTCATGCCCTATCTGACCATATGGACCTCTTCCTCTTCAATGTCAGAAATGCCGGCGTTTTGGCCACCCAGCCAAACACTGTCGCTCCACAGCCCTAAGCACTATATGTGCCCAACCTGGTCATGGCAGTTCAGATTGCCCTGCTCTGTCACGTATGTGTGCCAAGTGTGGTAGATCCCATAATGTATTTTATAGAAGCTGCCTAGTCTATAAGTTCGAATGTGAAGCAGCAGTTCTTAGATTCAAACTAGGCCACACTCTCTCTGAGGCCAGACAGGAAGCACGGTGATGAGCTTTTTCTCTCTCTCTACCTATTCTTAAACAGTCCTTTGCTCAGCTCCCCTTTCATCTTCTCAATATGTCATATCTGCATCTCCCCCAGTATCTCTTCTCTCTACCTTGAAGCATCCTACTTGTACTCCTCCTCTTCCCCAGTCAAATTCCTTTTCCAGCTTAAATCCAGATACTCCAATCTCCACCACTTCTTTGATGCCTACCCCTTCTCCTTCTCACTTTACTTGGTGCACCAAACAACCTAAACATTCCATTCTATCTTTGCCTACCACATCTTCTCCTACACCCTACTTTTCCTCTGGTCCTAAAACATCTATCCCCTCTTCTCACAAGAGAACTTTGTTTCTGAGACCTCCCCTCCAGAAACTCTTGAAGACATCCAAAAATTCCTAGACATGACCCAAGAAAATGTTCTGCTCCTTTATTAACCCTCCAATCCCTCTATTCCTATTCCTTCTACATTTAAAGTATTTGTTGATATCCATCCCCCTCCCCCTCAAGTTCTCCCTATCCCTCTTCCACCCACTTTCCTAATACACCCTATCCTTTCCTTCTCCATCTGTACCATTCCCTCTTTGTTCCTCGTTTTCCCTACCTCTCCATCTGGATACTTACGTGAAACTTTCTGTCGCAACAGTGCTCTCCGGATCCCTCCACTCCTGACACTCTTCCTGATACTTCACCACCTTCCCCAGTTCCCTTATCTTATCTTCCGGATTCTTCTGCTCCTTCTCCAACAGCCATTTCTACTCGTATTACCCGTATTATCCTTAGGAAAAGGTTTTCGGAAAAGTCTGGATGTTATCTATACATGTGAAATATTAGAATAAGAAAACGAACCAAGATTGATGCTACTTAGTGACATAAGATTACTTCATGATCAAGAGAGAAAAAAAAGACCTCTGTCATCTAGTAATCTAAACCAAAATAAAAAAAGTTAAGAGAACAATTTCTATTATCTCCCCTGTTATAGGGATGGTACAACAATAATCTAACCTCAAAAACTGGCAATGTAATTCACAATAGAAGTGGAGAGTTGGCAATAAATCATTTGCTTGAGAAATAATGGGAAATACAGGGTGATTAGTGAGAAACCGAATCATTTTAAATCACTTTCATTTACTTTTCATTTACATTTACATCCTTGGTGATTCAACATGTGTAAAAAGGACTGTAAACATTTTCATTAAAAAACTACTGATGCCTCCAATTAAGAACTTTTTCCTAATACTGTTACTTGGTAACTGATCACAATGCAAATGTCATTGGTAAAATAGTAGTCTCTGTATTTGTTACCAATATAAATATACCATCATATACATATATATATGTTGAATGGAAAAACACTACCATGTTGATACTATGGTAGAAAAACCCACAATGCACAAACTAGATTTATTGAAGAAATTGAGATAGTTTCCGAATCGTCCTCAATTCCATCCATCTAGTTTGTGCATTGTGGGTTTTTCTACCATATATATAAGTGTGTGTGTGTGTGTATGTGTGTGTGTGTGTGTGTGTGTGTGTGTGTGTGTGTGTGTGTGTGTGTGTGTGTGTGTGTGTGTGTTTGCATACTCATATCAGCGCCAATTTTTTTTGGTATCTGAAATGTTTTGTCAAATCATTATGGGGTGTTATATCCAGGCACCTTGCCAGTGAAAATCTGTGAAGCCAAGTTT